TTCCAGCGGCTGCCATATAGTATTTGTCTCTGCCCGGTGATAAATAAAGCATCCGAGCCTCTTTTGATCTCTCAGAAATTTTACAAAACAGACTTTCTAGAGACCCCCAACAACCAATCCTCGCATGAATTGCTAAGGATCCAATAAGTCAAACATTTATTCCTTCAGATGTGTCAATTGGGCAAATACACCCATAGTGACTAGAATGAATATCTCGTATTGGAAAAGTAGCACTTCGCACAATCAATCCCCCCGGGGCCCAAATAACTCAATATTCTCCTATGAACTATTTGTGTCAATGGATTAGTTCAATCAAAAACTTGAGATAATGGATGTAAACGGGAAAAAGCTTTATAAGTATCTGTTAATGAAGTTGAATTTACTAAGTTCTAAGGAGTTGGTATCCAGTTATGCTTAAGTGCTGCATATATGTTTCGTCGAGGAATGGGCTAGACCGGGTCATTTCTCAAGAACCAAACCTTTTGAGAGCTTGCAATATCCGAGCAAAAGGTGACAGATTTTCGATTTTTTTTCCTCACAAGTTTAGGTGGTCAAAAAGCCGTATTATAGATGCCTCTTACAAGATTATATACATTTGGTATATATTTTTTTTGCAGTGGGTTTCTTCTGATCGTTTAGTATAAATACGTTACTACAAAAATCAGAGAGAAACACGTAACGAATATTAACTTTAATAGCTACGAATCACAATTTGAAAAATGACTTCAGTTTGAAATCATTTTTTGGGTTTTAGTTTCTATATGGTGAATAAAATTTCATCTATTCATGTGTGAATATACACTACCTTCCGGTGGTGAAACCACATTATATCTGTGAGTTATTTATTTTGCTTTATTTATCTGTGTTTTACGCATTCAGTTTGTCATATTTATCATCTAATCTGATTGTTTCACATTCAGTTGGTAAAAAGTTACACATATTATTGTTTTTTTATTAAAGCTAGCAACTTTACTTGTTATTGGGACCGTGTGACCATCTCAAACCCAACAGTCCCTATACATAAGCTCGTACACAATATTTAATGCAGTTCAATGTGTCATAAAAGTAACCTAGAGGTACTTCATATTCAAATTTCTTTCCGTGGCTTCTGGTAGACGCAACGACTCGATTCGAAAAACCCGCGAGTCCCCTCGTCGTGTATAATATCTCATTTAATAATTCAAAATTCGAGATTTAAAAATAAAAATAAAAAATATAAATCAATTTTTGGCAAGTGTCTATTTCTTGATAGAGAAGGATTGAAAAGGATATGAATATATAATAATGTGCCAAGTATTTGCTCTCATCTTCTTTTGTTAAGGTTTATATTTCAATATCTTCTTGAAAGTGAAGTTTAATTAAAATAGCCATTCATAATATGTGCAAATATATGATTTCTTATTGTCATTTTTTTTGTTTTATTAGCATCATAAAATGGATATAAAAATCATTTTAAGTATCAGATTTTGGGACTCGAGAATAACAGTTATGGTGAGAACAGTAAGAATGCTTCTGAATTTTTGGATGAATTGACTTTTTGATCTACCTTCATTTTTATTTTCAGTTACTTTTACATATATTTTAATCACTTTCACATGTATGAATTTGTTAAAATCCCGATAAGTAGTTAAAGGTATATAAAGATTTTATTTTTATGTTCTCACCATAAGTTTAATTTTTACCGGAATCTAAAATATGGTTTTTTATATAGGTTTTTTAAATTTGGGCAAATTGTATGAAAAAATAATGTACTTTAATTTGATTTCTATTTTGGGTAATTTACTTTTAAAACTTTCATTTTGGTATCTAAGATGTAAAGTTTTAAACATACAAGTATCCGAGTAACTTGAAGCACTAACCGGTTACCATGCGGATGTGGCAAGTGTTGTGGTATCCAACTCAGTATTATTTGCTGAAGCATTAACCAATACCACATCATTCGCTACATCAGCATGGTAACCGGTTAATGTTTCAACTTGTTACCCGTGTACTTAAATATTTAAAATTTTATATCTTAGGTGTCAAAGTGAATATTTTAGAAGTACATTGTTTTTTTCAATGGAATTTGTCATTTAAATTTAAATAATTGAAAAGTTCCAAAATGTATGTTTTGGAAGGTAATTAGATAATTAAAAATATATTTGTTTTAATATATAATTTATAGTCATAATAATGTGTTTATTTAATGATCAATAGAGGGAGAAGGGGGGAATGGATAAGCACAGCTGAACAGAATCAGCAAGCAGCCATCCAATTTGAAGAAGAGAAAGAGATGTGGATCTCTAGCCACTTCAGACATATTATCTTCTAATAAGGAAGAGATTTGCTTCCAAGCAACAACCTTATCTTTTTTTTTATATATATATATAATTATAATAAATTTAAATAAATTGAGAATCAAAAAGTATGTATATTTAAATGTCTTAGAAGGTACTCGTACAATGCAGCGAGATACATCTCGATTTTAATGTTTTGTTTTATTCTGTCTCTGTCGATGTTATAATACGATTTTATGTGGTTTTGAGAAAACCATAATATTTTTTATTTTTGAATAAAATATAAATTTGAAGATATAATAAAATTTTGAAAAATTAAATAAATCCATATTAGTATCAAATTAACTATTTAAAAGTTCTTGTTTTTTTTTTTATAATTCTTTGATTCAATTTTTCATTGTAATTTAGTTTTAGGTTTAATAACGAAATAATTTATTTTTGATTTAATAATATAATTCTTTATAAAGATAATAATTAAATATTATATTAGAACTCAATGATTATTCTAATTATATTTTAGATTTTTTAGATTTAAAATACAATGTTTATTTTGTATTTGATTATGTTTAACTATAATTAGTTATATGAATTCAAGCATGAAGCTTTAATAAGTTGTACTTATGAGCAATTTACTTGTAATCTTGAATTTTAAGTAATATGCATCAATAAACAAAACTTTAGAGTTTTTGTCAAATGTTTTATAATATAATATAAATATATAGTAATGAATTTTAATGAGTATATGTATCAATATATATATATATATATATATATATGTGTGTGTGTGTGTGTGTGTGTGTGT